TGCGTTTCGCTGTGCCGCTACTAAGAGTCTAAGGAGCTCCTATTATTCCGTCGCGGAACACATTCAGTTGTGTTCTCTGGTCGATTACCGCCAATTATATGCTTGGAGGATCGGTCTACGACGGCCGGGCTAACGTCGGTGGTGCACGAAAAGGTTGTTGAACAAACCTTCTCGTGCACCAACATCCACCCGCCGCCCGTGCCGAGGCTTGGTTCACGGTTCGGCATGCGGCTTAGTTGCTCGGCCTGCCAACTGGATACACTAACGTGACGCCGACAACGAACAACAGGTCGGGATGTCCCATCAGCGAACTGCGATGATTCGTCCACGATCGCTGCGAACTCCCTCTCTGTCCCCCTTCTCCGCGATCCCAGCCCAACGTCCTTGATCATCAGGAATAAATATCCCGGCCCAACTTCCCCCCGGGATGATCTGATGGCCAACTACTAGCCGGAGGGGTCGAGGCAGGCCTGCGGCTCCCACAGTCTGCAGGTGTACGTTGGTTGGCATGAGCCACCCAAGCACAGGACCAGACGAAAAGCTGTGATTCGCAAGTCCCGTACTAAATGCCTGCTCCCAGATTAGGAAGGGGAGAGCTGCTCGTCAACCGAAACATGCTTTCGATGAGAACAACCAGAACCGCACTTGGCGAGCTGAGGGCGCATTCATGCGAAGCGTCAGACGCGGATAGAGAGACACTAGGTCGTGCAAACCACCAAGTTCCTCCTTGGTCCACCCATGAAGGTTGAAACGTTGTCGAAACGTGACTGCCTGTTGGTAACACTTCGTGCGAAAATTCATCACGGATATACATTGAGCCTTGGTTCCAGGATTCCACGTCACCGTGATTCCAGACGTATTGTGTCGAGTGAAGGGACACGCGAAAGACGGTGATGTTTAGCTGTTTGTGTTGGGCGGGCGGGTGGAGAAAAATGTTGCTCTTGTACTGCCAAACAACAGCTGTATGGCACCGCACGCGCCCTTGCGCGCGTGAGGTTTGGCTGCGAATGGCCAGATGGAGTTGGGAAGTGGTTCGCGAAAACGCATCGGCTCGTTGGAGCTGGTACACTAGCTCCAACGATGCCCATTTCACTCACACACCAAACTTTTTCGCACCTTGAGGTATAACACGAGCATGGCCTTTCGCGAGAATTCGTAAGCTTCGCCACAGGCATAATGGGACTAAAAACAATAACGTGGCTAATTCACGCACTTACTCTTTAGAACCAACCATATGTGCAAGGGAAAATCCTTTTTCTTATCGGGGTTGACTGCTACGCTTACCCGACATTTCGGACTTCGCACGTTCGGCCGCCATCCACGATTCCGAGGCTGCTCCGCATCGCCTTCGAATTTCCGATCGCCAAACCTGCACCCAACTCCGCATCCCCGAGGTTCCCTCCTAGCTAGACTAGCTACTATATTATCACGCGGCCTTCATTGTATTGTCAGTTAATTGAGTCACAGCCTCGTTATTCGTTATTCCGCGCAACTCTGTTTCACAACGCATAACACCTGGTATCAGAGCTACTTTCCTAGTTCACCCCACTTTTCGAGGGTAATTTGGTGGCACGGGTTGGCTGGTACAGCGGACTGCACGACGGTTGGCTGCAATGTTTGTTCATTCAAACCTGCCCGACTCCGATAGTTCGTGCTTTCCACTCGCCTGAAGGCCACGGATACCCGCTTGCCCACCAGATGTAGTGCGCGACCCATGGACCAAGAAGCGGTTAATAGGTTGATGGCGCAAGTGGCAGAAATGCAGAGCAGCGTGAAGTCATTAATGACGGAGGTGGAGCACCTACGTGGAGAAAACGCCGAGCTACGCCAGACGCGAGGTGAAGCGCGTCAGGAGTCGCCCGTTGAAGAAGGGGAATGCAACAGTCAAGCGGTGAGCAACCCTTTGGACGCGCTCTCACGTGACTTCGAAGAAGAAGATAGGCAGCAAGGGGCAGCGACGACTATTGCAGTAACGACGATCAAGATTAAACCTGCGAGTCCGCCCCCGTTCAATCCTACGGGCAAGAACACTATAGTAAAGGGGTGGCTCTTCGGCCTTGAAGTCTTCTTCAATGCAGGGAACATCAACGACGATGCCACGCATATTATTTACGCGGTTTCTCTTATGCGAGGCCCATAGCTTGAGTGGTGGTGCCAAACCTTGGACACAGCGACCCTGACAGGTGTGACACATGTGGCAGACGGGACCTCAACTTCGGCTAATCAAGTGGCAACTTGAATATTCAGTGTGACCAAGATTCGCACGTGGAAGGAGTGGGGCACAGCCTTGCAAGATCGCTTCGAGCATGTATCCGCCTCGGAACAAGCTCGCATGAAGCTGCGTGCCTGGTCGTAGATGGCTTCTGTTCAAGACTGCACCGCGTCATTTATGGCTCTCGCCGACCAAGTGGACGACATGGCGGAATCGGAGCGGTTGGATAAATACATCAGCGGCCTTAAATACGAGATACAATACGAGGTGCGCTGATGCCGCCCGACTACGTTCCTGGAAGCTGTTCGGTTGGCAGAGTCCACAGATGCGCTGATGCAGTGGGCGAGGGTAGGTTCTCGGGAGGGAAACCGTTTTTGCGGACAGACCCAACGGGCCACGATCAACGGAGTCTACGCCCCGCCCCTTCACGGGGTTGTGTTAGAAGTGTGGGAAACCGGGTCACATGATGAGAGAATGCCCCGAGAAAACGTCGGCGAAGAGGAACGACAGGAAGGAGCAGGGAAATGGGAAGAGTCAGTAATTATCGGGCCCCTTACTGGCTGTGCTCCGTCGCCAAAACACCAACATCCCCACCGAGCCGTGTTTCCGATTCATGCAATCGATCGCACTCGGCCGAATAACGGGGATAACCATGTGGATCACCCTCTGCTGGTCGTTAGCACGGTGTAAAAAAAAAACTTGAAAATGTTCGTCGATGGCGGGGCTAGCCATAGCCTCTTCAACTTGGCGACAGCAAAAAAATGCAAGCTGCAACTTGACAGGTGTGTGCCCGAAATCGACGCTCGCCTCGTGGATGGGACGCCTCTGGCAATACTGGAAGAAACACGGACGGTGCGGATCGAATGCAACGACGATTTCGGCTTCAGCATGAAGTTTCTTGCGACAACATTGAACGGTTGTGACGTGCTGCTGGGACGTAATTGGCTGCAAAAACACTACTCATCGTCGACTAGACGACAGGATCGTGCAGCATCAGCAAGCACAAGGGGCTAATTAAACTGCCTGCATGGACCCCGGACTACATCCAAGCCCCGTGCGTCAAAGCCATCTCTATTGTCCGCCACTTCAACCGAGGAGCGCAACTGTTCGCCGTGTGTTTGCGCGAGTTGGCAACCGACACCGAGGGAAAGGACATCGAGAAGCTGTACGCAGCTGTACCGCCTGATTTAGCAGAGCTGATTCGATAGTACCCCAGCATTTTCCTGGACTACCACTTGAACGCCCCGAGGACCACAAAATCCAGCTGGAGCCCGGCGCGCAGCCGACTGATCGTACACTGTGGCGGTTGACTCAGCCAGAACTCGAGGAGCTACGAAGCCAAATTCACGGACTGTTGGAGAAGGGTTTCATCCGGCCCAGTACATCTCCCTTCGAAAAAGGACGGCGGGCTACACATGTGCACCGACTATCGCGCGCTTAACCGGTTTACCATAAAATCTCGCTATCCTGATCCCATGCACCGACGACCTCCTTGATCAACTTCGCGGCGCTCGCTACTTTTCGAAAATCGACTTGCGTGGCGGTTACCATCAGATTCGGGTATTCGCCGACGATTATCACAAGACTGCGTTTCGAACCCGCTACGGGAGCAGTTCAGAGTGATGCCGTTCGGCCTCACAAATGCGCGTTCGGCTTTTCAGCTGACCATGAACAACGTGTTCCGCGATCTTCTCGACAAGTGTGTCATCGTCTATTTGGACGATATTCTGAATTTTAGCAGGACACGTGAGCAACATCTCCGGAACCTCGACGCAGTGTTTAAACGGCTACATCCCAACCGACTCATCACCAAGGGTTTTAAGTGCGAGTTCTTTAAGCATAAGTTGGAGTTTCTAGGGCATGTAATCTCCCGCGACGGCATTAAAATTGACCTGGCGAAAATCAAGACCATCCAGGAGTGGAAGTCCCCGACTAATATCACGGTACCTCAAAGTTTTTTAGGGTTCGTGAAGTACGTCCGGCGGTTTATCCTGAATATGGCAGGGATAACCGGCCCGCTGACCGACCTGCTTCTTTAAGACAAGAATTTTGTGTGGGGGGAGGAGGCTGAGGCGGCTTTTCAGGAATTAAAAAACATTCTGGTGTCCCCTCCAGTTCTGCGCATCGCCGACCCATCGAAGCCGTTCGAAGTCATCACCGATGCCTCAAATTTCGCCATCGGCGTTGTCGTCCTCCAGGATTTCGGGAACGGTTTGCAGCCGATCGCCTACGAATCACGCAAGCTGCAGGCAGCCGAGTGCAATTACCCGATACACGACAAGGAGATGCTCGCCATTATTCACGCATTCAAATGGTGGCGCTGCTACTTGACAGGCGCCGGCGTCACTGTTCGAACGGACCACAAATCCATACAGTACCTTCGTGCGCAAACCAACATCAACCTGCGACAAATTGGGTGGCTCGACTACATGGAGTCGCATTTCACCTACCGCGTCACGTACACGGAAGGGAGGGACACGCCCCACCGAAGATGTAGCCGGGCTGCCAATGTGAGTGCCCACCGACGAAGGAGGAAGTGTCTACATCGGTACTCGAGGCTTATCTCTGCCACGAAAGCCAGCTGCCTTCGCTTCATGTGCCTCGGTCAAAGGGCCCGCCAAGTTCCGAAACCCTCTCACAATCGCTTCAGCGAGCTTATCCATCATGTCTGCCTCCGCATCCTCGTTGCCTTTTGCAAAGGCTCCCAAAACCATACCCTTCAACTCCTCCGCCAGCTTCTGCATATTCTCGGTCGGGACCTGATTTTTGAAAGCTCTTTTTTCACGGT